AACCAACACTTCTGTCGATTGAATTCGGAAATGTAATTTAAAATGGGTCTCTGTCACTCCGTTCGCGGGTGTACGGGAAATGTAAATAATCCAATGAGGTATTGCACAATGCCAACATGGGATATATATTCTTTCCAGGAATAGCGTACATCCATATATATATGTATATACTCACACACATACAAAGACACAGACATTGATTGATATATATATATATATATACATAAAGGAAAAATTGAATACAGGCAAATGCCGAATTGACTACCTCAGGAAACGAATTACTGGAGGACATTATTTCCAGTGAATTGGACCAGTTAAGAAATCACCGATGAAGGGTGCACAAAAAAATTAGGAGAAGAGGGAAAGCAATATACACTGAATATTTATCTATTTGATCATTGGTACTATTATTTTCTAATATATACATATAATCTTATCCTTTATAACCAAGATCTCAATATTTCGAGCCTAATGATTTGACATGTCTGTAAACACATGCTTCTATTTAAGAATTATAGATAAAGATAAATATAAATAGAGTATGAGGATGAAGATGAGTAGATTTATTAATATATTCTATAAAGAGAAAATAAAAATACACACAGACATATGTATATATGAATCTATAGAAGAAATCCTATTATCTGTGAACACAGTAGTGAGTCATTTTACTTGTATCGAAAACCCGAATTCAAATCATCTCTATTCCAAAAGAAAATAATGAATATTTATATATCACCCTTTGGAGTGTAACCGCACGAGTCATACAAGAATAGACCCAGAAAGCCTTTTTTTTGAGATATTTGGAATCAAATAAACCCAAAAAAAAAGAAAAAAAGAAAAAGGTATGCTTACTTGATATCAATAATACGCTATACATTTTACATAAAAAATATATATTTTTACGCAATTTATCAACCATTTCTCTTACACCTTTAATATTTAATAAGAAGAAATAGTTGATGTTGGGGACGTGTGTGTGTCTTTAAGAAGAAAAACGAAACCCCCATTGTGTTTTGGTTCAACCTTTATTAAGCTATTTCTCTCTTTAAATTTTTTATTTTTAGATTTTGTGTGATATTTAAAAGCATGAAATTGATATTTTAAGAATTTATATATCACAAAATTTATACTTGTGAGCATCAATCTATCATTTTGTTTTGTTTTGTTTTGTTTCGTTTTGTTCTTTTGATTTATTTATTGAAACAAATTAGAGCCTGATATATAGTAATAGATATATAATAGGATAATAATTGTACCGTTGTTTGTATATAAAATAAATCAATAAATAAATAAAGCAGGATAGATTGTTGGTTAATGTAAGTTGGCAGGATTACTTTATTTTAACAAATCTTGTGATTCAATCTCAAGTATTCTATGTTTTTTCTTTCTTTCTTTCTTTCTTTCTGTTCTTTAGTAGCCAAGTCATTGGAGTGCTTTAGCTATGTACATTTATACCGTAAAATGAATTTTTGCATGATACTGCAAAGAATATAATAATAATAATAATAATTCAGCCCACAGGCCTTTGTTTGCCTTTGTGTGTATTGTCTTGAGTCAGTCTACACAGAGAAATAGATATATATATAATATTGATTTGACTTTGTGGCTGTCAATCTTAATGCGTAAGTTTAAAATAAAATTGGCGTTTTTCTTTTTCTTTTTTGCTAGTGTGACTGTAAGTCAGATAAGCAAAGGTTGGTGAAAGTGTATGGGAAATAATATCATATTTGGACAACACCTCTCAATGAAGTCTAGTGAACCAGGATCCCTGGTAGTCTTATATTTAGACAAACCCAGGAAGAAGAACAAGAAGAAGAAGAAAATTTCTATATATAAAATAAAATACACACACAGATACTGGGTGTGTGTGTGTGTGCCCTGATTTGTAACACCATAAAAGAATTGGGATTCTTTCTCTAGTCGATCTCAAAAAGAAATACACTAAAATTAGACTATTTTTGTGTATATATATATATATATAAAGTAAAAAAAAAGAAAAAGAAAAAGGGAATTTGTTACACAATTGATTATTATTATTTTTATTCTTTCTACATGCTGCACTAATTTAGAATGTTACAACTCCGGTAAGCATGTCTCAATATGGAAATTAAAAGGTGAAGATACATGTCACACATTGCTTTTAATGGTACATAATCACAAAGCAAAAACAAGGACATTGAGAGACAAAGCCAAGAGAGTATGGGTTTATATATCATTATTATCATTATTATCAGTATTATTCTTGCTTTGTAATACGTTGGTAGGCATACAGCAAGGATATTACTAATAAACCAAAGAAAAGAAATCTATAGTTGGATAATCAAGAGTGTATTATGAGTCTATGCAATCACCAAGAATTATTCCTTAAGATTTACTAATTTGACATGGACATAAAGAAAGAGTTAGACATGCCTCCTATAACAGGTTGGAGAATTAACTTCAGGGCTTACAGGATATCTTACTATCTACTATTGGATACAAGTAAAGGAAAACAGCTTTCCAGCTTGCGTGAATGATCATACTCTTTCCTCTTATGAATTTTTTCTTTCATTAGTTATTTATCTGACTAGACCAAGAAAATAAAGTAGTCCAAATCACAACAGATTTGTCTATTTATCAGATCTAAATTATTTTTGTGTGCAAGTTATACTAGTAGTAAATACCAAAAGAAGTGTGTTTCTTTTCTTTATTTCTTGTAATAATTAGGTACTAATATTTAATATATAATTTCTTGGTTTGCTATTACTTTTTTTATAACCAAAAAAAAATTCATACAGAAAATATCATATTAGAAAATGGAAACAATAGCCCAGCTTGTTGGGGTACATTACAATTACAATTACAATTACAATTATATATATATATATTTCATTGATTATAATTGAAAAGAAAAAAAATAAAGAATGACATTATTTAACCGGAACTTGGAGCCGGAATTTTCAAATGACGGAGTTATCTCCATCACACTCGTGCAACGCATGGACCACTTTTAGTTGTATTATATAAATATTCAAAAGTTGAAATTGAAATTGAAACAAATTATAATGATTGTTATAACAAAGAGAAACAAGAAGAAAAACAACAACAACAATGCAACCAATTCAAAAGTGTATGGTGCGACTCTATCTATTGGTTTCCTGAAGACGATAAGTTAAAGTAACCTGAAAATTATAGTAATACTTGTACAAAACTTGAAAGGAGAAAAGTCTGTTTTGTAAGGATCTTCCTTTCTCTATTATTATTATTATTATTATTATTATTATTTGCGCCATAGTTCAGCCGATCGATTTTTTTTTTGCTGCTTTGCTTTCACACAAATACTTAAATAGGAAAAATGGCAAAGTACCAGAATGTCCGTTCGTCTTTTGGTCCAGTACTCATGCTTTTTTTTTTTCACCCTTTTAGTCGGTCTATCTTTGCCTTTGTCTCTTTTGTAAATTTTATCCATCTATATATCTATTTATCTATCTATTTATCTCTTTGTTCCCTTTCTCCCCCCCTTTATAATTTTTTAATTTTTTTATTTTTTATTTTTTAATTATTATGTTGGTCTTCTGTCATCCCGATTTAAATACCGAAATCCTTACTCCGTGAAACTTGCCGCTGTACACAATAGTAAATTTACATAATGATTCTTGTGGCAATTTGAGTTTGAGCCAGAATATTTTATATATTGCATATAAAAAAATAAAATAAAATAAAATAACGTTGTTTTCATTTATATTCACTTGCATACTTATTGATGAAATAACGATTGAAATCTAAAGGTAGTAAATTTTAATCATTAGAATTAAATAAGTATATAAATATATATATATATATATATAAAAGTAAAGTTCATACTATTAATTAAGAATAAGAATAATATATAAATTATTTGAAAAAAAAAATTTTATCGCGCTTTTACAAAGTAAATCCCCCTTTTCCTCTTCTTCTTCTTCCTCGTCCTGCTCCTTTAAATTTTTTTATTTATTTATATACATATATACTAGTAAATAAGATTTATTCATTCAAACAGTGTATATATATAAAATGATAAGATGCCTATAGTTACACTCATATACAAACACACGCCTTTGTTCTCCAGTTATGCAACTCTCCACTTGTATCACACATACAAACAAAAAAGAAAGTATAAAGAGAGACAAGTAGACATATAAATAGACTCAATTGTATGCTTGTGTTTTGTGGAGCAATCAAAAAGAGGGAAAAAAATAATCTTTACGAATTCATTTACTGATAGGTTGGGATGTGATCTCTTTACAAAGAAACCCAACACACACACATATATATATATAATATAGTATATAATATATTCAAGTATCGATTTTCCCGGCTTAGCCCGTACTTTATATACACACTTTTACATCTAAATATATACAACAAACAAATAACAATTAACCAAAAGACAAAGCAATGCACATGTATGTATGTATGTATATTTGAATGGGTTTCTATTGATTGATATATGTATATAAAATAATAAATAATAAATAATACTAAGAAAGCAAATGACATGAATACAAATAAATATATATATATATATATATATATATATAAAGAAAAGGAAGTGGTAGCTATTTACGAGGGTGCAGATAAAGAATCATATGTGCATGGATGAAATGGTTGAGAAATGCATAAGATATAGAACGAGTGAGAGATATAAGAGAAGAAAAATGCTAGATATGAAATGAGGTGAGGGATATGAGGTGAGAATATGTGCACATGGAAAGGAAACAATAAAGAAATAAAACAAAAGCAAATAAACATGGTATGGACATCTAAGTTGGACAAAATAAGTATGAAATAAAGGAAAAAAAATGGTGCACCAGAAAGCAAAGATTTACAGCAAACAAAAGCAAATAAATAACATATAAAGAAAAAGATAGATAGAGTGATAGATAGATAGAGTGATACTTGGCCTATGTATTGTGTGTATGTGTGTGTTTTTGGTTGTTGTTTAGTTTTTCTTTTTTTTTGGGGGGGTTTGTTGTTGTTTAGGTCAAGCCAGCCCTAGGTGAAGATGACCAGGTAGGATAGACAACTGTCATAGGAAAGGTTGGAAAGGTTGGAGAGATAGGGCTGGCAAGAGCGTTTTCATAGTAGATTGGAGCGTAAGGCAAGGTGGAATCCTGAGTAGAGATGGCGTAACAAGGTGCATCGTTAAAAGTCATTCCGTCCTGGTGCTGATAGGCGTACTCAGGGGTCATACAACCATTTTCCACACGAGGCACAACCACACCACATTGTTCATTCACAAGGAGGTAAGGGCTGTCTTCATAAAAAATTGGAGAACCAATAGCTACTTGTTGCTGCTGCTGTTGTTGTTGTTGTTGTTGATGATGATGCTGGTCTGGTCTGGATGCCCAGTTTCTCAGATTTTTGTCTTCGTAGTCGTAACCATAGTTATAATTGTAGTTGTTTTTTGTGTTTTCGTTTTCGTTTTCGTCTGTATCATATTCACCTTTGACTTCAATTCCCAAAGACTGGGAAGGACAAGGTGAATAAAAGATCATTGCAGAACCGATTGGAGATTGCTCTTGCTTGATTAGCATATCATGGTCTTGGCTATGGCTGTTGCTATGGTTATTGCTATTGCTGTTGCTATGGTTTTGAGTTTGAGTTTGGGATTGGGTTTGGGTTTGGGTTTGGTCCAGCTTTGGATCTTTTTGTCGCTCCTGGAGGCGAAGGGTCGTGAGACGTGTTTCAAGTTTGACAATCTTTCGTTCGAGGTGAACCACTTGAAGCCCAAGGTCATCATAGGCCGTCAAGAGCTCTTTCTCCATATCACACAGCCGTGTTGCTCGTGTCGATCTGTCGATTTCCGACTTTGAGCACGCATAGGCATGTCGAAGGCTGTCAAAGTGAACTGTGATGGTTGCTACCGAGTCGTAGGCATAGGCAAGTTCGGTTACCAATCGATCGATTTCACTGACAGGTTGGGATTTCTGTGTCTGGGCTTCGTTGGGATCTACAGAGCCAAGAGAGCCAAGAGAAGAGAAAGTTGAGGATGAGGATGCTGAGGATGATGATCCAGCAGTAGAGGTGCGTGTATGGTTAGACCAGCTCGACGCGCTGGAGACGGTTCGCTTATGTACTCGAGGCTGTTTAGTAGTAGTAGTACGCACGCGCTGGTTTGCCCATTTAATAGGCTTCATTTTCTGATGGTTTTGATGTGAATTCAGTACGGCAACAGGCATATTGTTTTAAGAGGTGTATTTGTTATTGATATTTTGGTGTTTGGTGTTGATTGTTTTGGTATAATGATAATGATATCGAAGTTTTTTTTTTTGGTTTGGTCTTGGTATTGGTCTTGGATATTGGATATTGGATATCGATATTTATATGTATATGAGATAAAATATAAATACTTAAAATATAAAATGTTGAAGACGATGAGAAAGCAAGAGAAAGTGCAATGGATTTAATGTGTGGAATAAAAGAACAATTAAATAGGTTTGTGTCCATATATATATATATATGTCTGTCTGTCTGTCTGTGTATGTATGTATGTATGTATGTATGTATATATATACTTTTTTTTATATATATATATTGATTCTTTAAAAGGCAATATCTAAAAAGATGTATTTTTATACAAGCACATACAGTACATATACTTTTTATATTTATATGTACGTGTGTGTGTGTGTTAGGTTTATGCTTGTGAGCGAAAGAATAATAATTATATAGGTATTTTGTTACACTGACTGTGGTTATCAAATCGGGCCCATTTATTATGTGTGCCAAGATCTGGGAATAGTCTAGACTGGCTTTCTGGGTCAATTCCAAGCCTTATTCTGATTGGAATAGACATGGCATCCTTCTAGTCATTTTGCTTATTCTGTTTAGATGCTGTAATAGGAAGTCCTTTCCTCATGTTTAAAGAAACACATACAGACACAAAAACAAAAGAGAGAGAGAGAAAATAATCGACAGTGGGTGTATATCTTTGTACTCCTCCCCCCTTCCTTTTCTCTCTCTATACTTCCTCCTTCTCCTCTTCCTCATCATCAGCATCATAATTATCATCATCATACTCTATCTCTCTACTCCCCCCAAAAAATAATAATATTATTCTCTCTCTAACTATCTATTTTATACTCTCACTTACTTTTATCCCCCCCCCCCCCCAAAAAAAAAATCCTCTTACCAAAATATATTTATATTATTTTTAATTTTTATTACTGTTGTAACCTATCCATTAAAGCCAATATTACATGTTGATCTGATGATCTCTCTCCCTCTCCCCCCAAATGTATATATATATATATATATATATATATATATATATCAAATAAGTATGCTGTAAATGCCCGTGCGTATCTCTTAACAGCCATAAAAGAAATTATTGTATCTAACTCAACTACACAATATTTATATATGCTTTTTATAATAAGCTATTTTTAAAAGCTATATATTTTATGTTATTTTATTTTATTTTGTACCTACTATGTATGTATTTGTGTATGTATAGTTATGGATCTATAGACAATATTGTCATGTCTGAGCATAGACCTATGTTATTTATATTGTGCAAACTTTACATATAATGGACGACAATATAGCAATACAGTTGGTATGCGATATTTCGGCGCAATTGTTTTTTTTTAATAGACTCAACTCGGCATCTAGCATTACACACATAATATATTACTTAAAGAATCTAAAACGCACGCAAGGCTTCTTGATGAATCAAGGCAATAGAACAAAAAAAAGAGAGAGAGAGAGAGTCGGCACCAAGGCACGGAATCTCGAGAATAGTAATCTCTGTATCTATATATATATATATATAATCAATCAATCAAGCCAAAAATTACTATAAAAGTATACCAAGAATCTTGTATAATTTTGAAATTGTTAGGAATTCTTTGCCGAACAAGGGACAGGAGAGATAATATAATATAATATAATATAATATAAAATAAAAGGTACTGAAAGTTGGATCGAGTATAAACATGGTTGGACAAAAGAATGAAAACAAATGATAGTAATAATACAATTCTGGATATACAAATCTCCACAATTAGTTTATAATAAAACAGTTGCACCAACTATAAGCCAAAATCAAAAATAAATAAATCAATCAAAAGGACAAGAGAACAAAAGGGTAAAAGAGACCGGTCTAAAGGAAATAATGTAAATTTTATAAATATAAGAATAAAATAAATAAAATAAGAAGAAGTAATATACAATTATACTAATGATAATAGATCTATTCTTCTCAATTGATTGGAAAGATTTTTTTTTGTAACAAATTCGGTGTCTTTGTGATGATTGATAACTGAGTATTGTGTGTATATATGAATTATTTCCTTTAAAAATTAACTTATACAATTATAATAATTGCTTATACTTTCTTGCCTTTAAATATCCAAAATACACAAAATGAATAAATGTCACCAAGCCCATTTATTCTTTTCTTTCTACGCCTACAATAGAAGGGGAGGGAGAAAAGGAAAGAGGAGGGGGGGGGGGGGGGGCGGTTGACCTTGTCAAGTCCGATCGCACATTGAATTTTTTTTATTTTATTTTATTTTGCCACTTACCACAATTACCATGACTACAGTGAATGATTTCTTGTTGCTATGTTTACTACTGTTTACTGCTGTTTACTGCTGTTTACTGCTGTTTACTACTGTTACTACCATTATTCTATATATTTATACATTTGTACCTTTCCTCACCCTGACTTCCCGTAAAACATCAAATGCTGTCAAACTTGGAAATTCACGTGAATGGAACACTAAAAAAGTAGTTGGTTGCACCACAAAAAGATATTGTCAATATCTTAATTTCTAAACTCAAGTATTTTCATAGTCTAAAATAAAAAACAAAAAAAGTTTTTTTTTCCTTTTTTTTTCCTTTTTTTTCCGGTTGGAATTTTTTTCAAGCCCAGGGGACATGAGGATCGTAAATGTGAAAAACAAATCGATTTCGAGGGTCAGGTTAGATATATATATATATATATATATATTTTGGGGGTAAATATATTTTACAGGCTAGTCCCCCGGTACAGATTAATACTATTACCAAACTAAATAAGAAATTTATTTATTTATTTATTTATTTATTTAAAAACGGGAAAACGTTTTATAAAAATTTTATATATATCGAAAATGATGATTATATAGTATAAATGGAGGGAACATTGTTTTGTTGCTATGA